GAAGTTTGTAAATTTAGTTATAATTTCAAGCGTTTGACGTTCAACAATATTTGCGTCCCCGTTGTGAACTTACATCCCTTTCCCTCCTCGGTGTACTCCTCCGATTCTTCGAGTTATTGGTCGAGAGCCTCTTTGTTGAAGGTTGGCTCCAATACTCCGAAAGCCCTCCTACACTTTATCGGTTAGATCCGTTTAGTTTTTCTTTCTTCCCCATTACTGCTGCTTCCTCTCGTACATGTGTCGCGAGTATTGGATAGTGGTATACTTGTCGACAGTTTCAGGCACTTGACTCGTCCTCTTAAGGTCCCAAGTGAACTGTGTCTAAAGAAATAGAAAAAGTGTTAAGAGTAAAAAGCATAATGGAAACATTAACCAAAATTGAGAGAAGAAAGTAACAGAGAGGTTAGAATGTAATTGCACAAGTAGAAAATGGCCACTCCTCTCTAAATTATATTGTTGCACGTTTGTGCAGAAGATATATTTCTTCCAATTGCTAACTTTAGCCGTATCATGAAAATGAGAGAAGAAAGTAATAGAGAGGTTAGAATGTAATTGTAAGTAGAAAGTGTCCATTCTGGAGAGAAGAAATTAACAGAGAGATTAATTACACAACGTACACTATTAAAAAAATAGATTGTATAATTTATTTTATTAGTTTACATCATTTTTTTATTCACACAAATGAAATTACATCATTTATGTGAGGACTTTGAAAATGATGACTCTAATATTTTGTATCAATAAAAAAGACCGACGTAAATATTTTATCATTTATTATAACTGATGTTAATATGTGTTACTTATGAAAAATGAAACTAAATTTACATCAATTTATATAAATGATGTTATATATTTATTTCGGTTCTAACAATTGATGTTGAATATTCATATCATTTGTTTAATTGATTTTATAATTATATCACGTTTTTTTATCCAAAAGAAAAAAAATTATATCACGTTCATTGTTAAACTTGAACTATAACTTTTTAAAAAAGTTAAAAGAAAAATTCTAATTCTAAATCAATTAATATTATTTGCTATCATACCATTTGGCACTCTCCCATATTTATAAGAAAAGATGGTCTTGAACTATTTATCAATTGTCGATGTGGGATAACACCAACAACAAGATCGTATTAATTTGTTAGTTACAACTTGATATACTTTAAATACAAATTTGATTAGCATTAGTTTTTATTGATGTAAATCTTGTATTAATTTTTCAAGTGATGTTAACAAAGAATTAGCAAATATATCAATTATCTAACTGATATAGATTGATATTTTTGTGTCACTATTACTAAAATAATATAAACTAATAAATTTTTATATCAATTCTATTAAACTGATGTTAAAGTAGTTAAATGATACAATTTAAGTGATACAACTCACCCATTTTTTTTGTAGTGGTACTATTCTAAAGTTCGTAAACTGACATCCCATTAATCTTTAAAAGTTAGTACATAATATTTGAAAGTTAGTATATAATCTTTAAAAAAAATTGATGAATACAAATAAGAAAAATAATAAGAATTGAATCTTTAATTTTTATATCATTTGAATACCTGAAAGTAACTTGATATAATGATATCAATAAGAGACCAAATTAACCATTGATATGCCAATTTTTCAATTATATACAATTGATGCGGAAAAACGACAGATTTCTTGTTTGTAGCGACGTTGTTGGAAGGAAACTCTACTATTGAAAGATAAGGCGATTACTCATTAGAGCTAACTATTGGAACCATCGCTGCATAACATCATTATGAAAGATCACTAGTATTATACACCATCATTGGTGTCGTATGAGAAAACCAATTTAAACGGTATAAAGAACTGTCCATTTGGTCCTCCACTAGGGTTTGCTTACAAAACCCATTATAATCTAAACCGATATCCAAATAGATGTGAATACAAGCTGTTGATGTTGCAACGAAATCACAATCTCATTCGGGATCATCTAATCGATTGAAAAGAAACAGATAATGACAAAACATGGTTTTTCATCAAAGTGATAAAATTTCAACCAATCGTATTTATCGCTAAAAATCTGTTTTATATCACACGAATCAGACCATAATAGAAGTATAGACGTAATAGTATTGTCATTTTAATTAGCAGCCAAAAACAGATAAGAGTTGTAGAGATCTTCTTACGTGACGCAACATGAATCTAATAGGTCCATTTAGATGGTGTCAAGCC